TACAACGAGTTTCATCCGTCCTCATCTGGTGAGATCGACCAACGAATCTCTTCTTCATGCACTTTCGTACAAAATGAAGGTCCCTCTTACATTAAATTACTCTGACAGCATATACGCATTGACAGAAAGGGAAACTGTACAAGTGTCAAGTTGAGATAAATTAGGCATAAAATAACGTGGGGAAATGGAAAAAAGAATAAATATTTACAGCTCGTCCAGCAAAAGAAACCTACCCCCATAAGGTCTTGCCAACCTCAGCCAAAGTGACATAATTTGAAGGGAACCAACCGGATAACTGCGGTTTGCCCTCATGCACAAGGAGGCCACGCCACCACCCATCTGAACTTTTCTCAAGTACACGGATGTAATCGCCACGCTGGATTGATAGCTCGTCAGGCTGACTCGCTGCATATGCAAAGCGGGCCACACAAATTTGTCTGGAGCCAAGGCAAGAAGAGCCTACCCCAAAACCGGAGCCTCCAGTCACAGCAGTACCAGAAACTCCCATACCTCCACCAGTTGTAGGAGAACCAGGGCCTCCAAGAAAGCCGCCAACGGGAGCATATCCCCCTCCTGAAGTGCTCATGGAAATATCAGTGTCTAAAGGTCCTAAATGGAAAACGCATATAATGACATATATAGACTGAATTAATATTGTGGGAAAACAAATTTTAAATTCCATGTACTTAAGCGATCTCTGGACATGCGATGTATAAGCTAGTAGTATCTTCTATGAGTATCTATGACGTATATTCAATGAGTATCTTCTACAAGGAAGTGATTGTTAACTCGTTAGAGGTTTTATCAGCATGCAAAAGCTGTCTAGCTTTTACAGATTAAAAAAATGTAAAATTGCCTTTATCTTGTTATAAGGTTGGACGCATCAAGTCCAAGCGAAAAGGATGCATTTAGTCTTGGACAATTACCCTGATTGTTCCGAGAAAAAACGATTGTGAGCAAAGTTGTGGTTTACATAAGAAACAGTCAGCAAACAAAATATTTGTGTTTTGTGTCAAAAAGGGAAGCTCGGAAGACTTCATATTATTCAGTACCTATTTCAACAGAAAGCCAAAACCATGATAATATTACATATAAGCCACGAAAAATTTGGAAACTTTTTGAGCTTTATTGTGAGCTAGTGTTGGTAAAAAGCTACATATATACTCTATATCTGAGCTCCTTGATGAGGCATACAGTGGTTTTGTTAGTTCCAATCATATAACAACTTCGGAACATGTGTCTGGCTCTGTACGCCTATGTGGCTGTATCTGTTCGCATATGTACGAAATCAGCAATAATGGCTCAAAGTAATTAGGACAGCAAAGGTAATGTCCGTTCTTGGCCATCAAGACTTAATGCCAACCATCACCCCCTTTATATTTATATATATATGTTTAACCATCACTCTGATTGTGCAAGGTCGGACACACGTCTGGTTATGTTGATGAGCGTTTCTTTTTTTGCTACATGTGAGAGAGAAAGAGTAGGCTAAAAGTACAGAGAAGTGAGCGTGGTTAGAATCAAGACAAGAAAAGGCTATTTGAGTCGCCTCCTTTTTGCAGGCTGCTCTCTATCCCTGAGTCTAAGAAGTAAGCACAAGTAATTTTTACTTAACTTATTGCCGATATTCTTTACATTCAATGTATTTCCTATTCGGTTTATTTAGATGGCTTATATAACTTTACGTTTAGCTGC